TACACGTTTAATTCTTTGAATAAAAAACACACATAATATTTAAAAATAGCATGTAGCATCTATTTAACCAGAAAAACGATCAATACCTACCTGATAGATTGACGGGTAAATGAATGATGTCAAATGTCTTAAATCCAATCACGAACTCCTGTGTTTGGTAATTTTAATTTTTGTACTGAATGTATCACATTTGGCCACTTATTTTACAATTAAGGAAATTTCTGTACTTTCAAAATAAATTCATCTTGTTCCCTTTAAGAGATTCGTTATTGAAAAGCTATAATGGGCATATACATTTGTTTTCTTTCTTTAAATAATGCTATTGTTTGAATAATCAAGCAGACTAATAATTGTATAGTTATTATATATATTATATGGGGCTATTGCCTTATAAACTTTCTTCTAACGACCTTATAGACTATAAATATATATATACATATGTGTAAAAACACGTGTTTATCCGAAATTAATTTTTTCCTGATATTGTAAATCATCAACTTTTTTTTAAAATAAGTTTAACCGAAATTTTTGTTAGGACTTAATATCCATGAGTCTCTACTGTAAACCAGACAGCTGTCGCTTTTATAAAAAATGATCGTACAAATAACAACTAACCAGAAACATTCCTGTTGTAACTATCACACACGTAACACCTAACCAGGAACGTTCTTGTTGTAACTATCACACACGTAACACCCAACCAGAAACGTTCCTGATGTAACTATCATACACGCAACACGTAATCAAGAACATTCCTGTTGTAACTATCACACATGTAACACCTAAGCGGAAACATTCTTGTTGAAGCTATCATACATCTAACACCTAAGCGGAAACATTCCTGTTGTAGCTATCACACACTTAACACCTAAGCAGAAACATTGCTGTTGTAACTATCACACACTTAACACCTAACCAGGAACGTTCCTGTTGTAACTATCACACACGTATCACCTAATGAGAAACATTTTTGTTGTAACTATCATACACGTAACTCCTAACCAGAAACATTCCTGTTGTAACTATCACACACGTAACACCTAATGAGAAACATTCCTGTTGTAACTATCGCACACGTAACACCTAACC